TAAGTTGTCTAGGTCCCCTCATGAGTTTAACCTTAATAATCAAGATATGTTTTCATTTGAGTGACTTTTTTTTTTTAAAAAAAGAAGAAAATTTTTCTCAAGCCTTATACAAGGCTTGTCTAACGGGGACAATAAAAATGTTTTCTGAACAGTCACATTAAACACTGAGGCGAAATTTATTTTGATATAACACTCATTCTCTTCACTGGCATCATATCAAAGATACATTTGCCCTTATTTCTCTACAACATAATTCATATCACTAAACTCTACACAGACAGAAGAAAATTCATTTGCTAGACTAGCAATAGAAATGAAGTCTGAAGTCAAAAGAGGTGGATGTTCAGAAGCAGCCCATATTGCTTTTGACTAAAGAACGTGTCAAAATTATTTGGTCACTAAATTTTTTTGGTCAAAGACTAATATACAAATTGTGAATATAAAACTGTAAATTTTGCAAAAGCAGCAGAAACAAGTCCACAGATGCCACGTTTGTCCTTCAAGAAAGGTTTGCTGGAAAAAAGTTGCTAAAGCCTACTAAGAACAAATACCATATCTAAGATAAGACTACTAGATTATGAACAATCTGAATGAAGTATTCCTCCTTCTAAGACATGACTACTGGAGAAAAAAAAAAAAGTCTCCTTCACTGAAATGTCTCCTTCACATAATCTTTTTCTAATCAAACATTCAATAGTTGTTTCTTCAGTATCTTCTCCACGTTCCCAGGCTTTACTGGGCTTTTTTGTTATTTAAACTGCTTGTGAAATACCTGTTGCTACTCTACACACTATAATTACCTTGTTTTAATTTGGGACCTTGTTTAAAACACAGCTATATTCACAATGTGAACAGTTAAAGCTTCACATTGTAGGAATGGAATATCTTATTTTATTATGAAAAATGTTAATTCTTCAAATTGTAAATTATATTCCTGTAATTCACCAGAAGCAACTTTTGTCATTAATCCAATACTTCTCAACAATGCAGTTATATTAAAAAGGTTGTACTGTAAAATTAAAGCAGGTGTATTAAAACAAAGAATTTCGACAAATTAGCAAAATCTGTGAAATTAACCACCAGTGTGAAGTACACATAAACATTTTTTTAAATTGCACTATATTTTGCCCCTTACATATTTCAACATTTCACAGACTTGGAAAATTGTATTGTTAAAAATAATTCACCGTGAACAATGCCAAACGTGCTTCTTTTATACTTCAAGTTCAACTCGGTTCATGGAAGCCTGTCAAGGACACAAAAGGGATGTCAGTAATGCCATAACAGTCCTACTGCCATTGCAGTCAGAGAACGCGCAACAAAATCCTCTTGAGGAGGGCTGCAAATAGTCTTCGCATGCGAACTGACACCAATAGAAATTCTTTAAAAGAATTATAAAACAAAATTGTAAAAGGTGAGCGGTCACTTCTGAACACATGACTCAAGAGGACTTGAGAAATAGTGAAAAGATTTCAGGTCACTTTTAGAGTCCAGGGCATGGGAGACAAGTTTGAAAGTGATCTCGGGCTTCTCATTTCTCAAGATAGTTAAGGACATAGACAGAAAAATAGACCGGCTTCAGTGAAAATACAGCTTATTTTGACAAATGCATTAAAATGTAAAAGAGACTGCAAATATTTCTAGCATTGAAACAGACTGAGGTTTAATTTTATTTGTATTAGAATTTAAAATATTTTGATGATTTGGTTGCGGACAATTGACAACAAAAGGAAGCATGTGCTGATACACTGTGATGAATTGTAAGAATTGTAAGTACCATGCACGCAGGAGAATATTCCAACAGGTTTTAAAGGAAAAGAATGTCAGTTGGCCCCTAAAATTCCCATACCTATGCTCTAATACAGACATCTCAGTCACATCATAGACCACGTTTATAGCAGCGGAGAAAGGGAGCAAATATCTAGCTTGCTACTAGAGATAGCAGCCAGAACTGACACGCTTGTCTACCCAAATCTGGGGAACGGATTTGAGCCAAAAATCTCTTTAATATACACTCCTGGATTTTGAAAAGCTTTTCTGCAACAATATGGATGCAAGTTACTAGGTCTGGTGTGTACATATATATGTATATACATGCATATGTATACCTATATGCAGACATATTTAAATATTTATGCATCTGTTTCCTACGTGCAAGACAATATCAAACTATTGCCTATTTTGATGAAAAGAATCAGAAAATCTAAAGGCTGAAGGAGCCAAAAGGAACCTTCTTTGGCATTTCATACTCCATCTGATCAGTTTTATCAATCTTTGATCTTTTGCAGAAATAGAGTATTTAAGCTTAAATCTCATAGTGAAGTTTCACATCATGCCTTACTCCTGGTTAAAGTAAGCAGTAAGTCACTCTGACTCCTTCATTTTTATCACTGTGCATTCAGGAAGTCCTTACTCCTTCACCAAGTTATGGTATTCAAAATATTACCATAAAGATTTTTTCTTTTCCAAATTCAAACACTGTTTTTGTTCTGGCAATTCAGAGAATCTGTTTTATCCATCACATTAGATATAGCCATTATAATAGTTCCCACCCAGTATGCCACAGCCATTTCTACGGTGCAGTGAAATTCAATAGCTTTTTTCTGTGCGTTGGGGATTTTCCATCGATTTTTACGTGAAACAATTACATGAGCAAGGGTTCCACCCATTTGAATAAGCCTGGGAGTTGTATCCCTGTTGGTACCTCTAGGAATATCAAATCGCGTGACACTGTGACCTGATTTAGTTTTTGAAGGTTTCCATCCTCCTTTCTAAAGCAGCCCTCTTCTCAGTTAAAAAAGGGGCTAGGAACCATTCCTTTTAAGCATACGACAACAATCTTCCACTCCCACTCCAAATCTTTATTGAAGTACTCCGTTTCAACAACTTTCCCATCCAGGCAAGCAGTTAAGGCGTCAGTCTTGCTTCACAGAGCCAGAAGAAAACTGCAAGACATTCTTTCTTGCTCAGGTGAATCATATATTTGTCCTGTCCAAGGGAATCTGAAATATCATACTATTTATCTATATGGTACCAACTGTTACGTAGAGGACAATACCTTAAATACATTATTTGGAAGTTTTAGATTGACAGGTTGAAAACTTCCATCAATTACTCCCTATGTCAATACTGCACAACCTATTCCAGTTGAGCAGCTGATTTAACAATGTTAACATTATTCTGGCTTGAGGAGTCGATGGAAAGCCTGATTAGATGTCACTTGTTCCAAACAAGAGGCTTTATTCCCTATAATATTCAGTAACCAATGATTAGTTAGTTGCTAACCAAGCCCCCAATGGTTAGTCATGATAATTAGTCTACAAATTATGAACACAAAAAAAAAAACCCACTCTTCCACATTTTTTCATGTTTTCTCTTGTTTTTAAATTGCTTTCTCTGCTTATAATTTTCTTAGCTAGAAAGGGCATGGAGACAGATTATAAACCCCTTTCATCCTATTTAGAGCAGCAACTCATTTCAGAGTCTGGCCTGGCCAGCTGCCAGATACAAGCAATACATTTCCTCCAGTTGCAAGCAATAAAATTATTCTGTCTTTGTTACCCCACATTTCCCTGTATCTTTCTGAAGGACAGCAACGATTCTCTGCCAACGTTGCTGTGATGAATTATATGCTTTAGCTGTTTAGCACAAGGGTGAGCTATACAAAGCCACAGGAGGCTGGCTTTAAACACGAGTTTTTATTGTTTTTTAAATCCTTTTCATAATAGTAATGCTAATATGGCAAAAATATTATGTGCCATTAGGGAGATGATCAAAATCAGAAAGTGTACACACTTTTTCTTTCCCCTATGCCTGTTTTCCCTGATATCAAGAGTCAAAAAATAAAACTTCTACTCAGCTTGGGAGACTCCATGTCAGGTCTGTCTCCCAGATGCCTTTGAAACTACTTGTTTCCATTTTCTTATTTTACTGCAGTTTATCCCAGCATGTTTATGACTGCATCCTCACCTATTCCTTAAATCACATGCTCAAGAATTGTGCATACTCAGAGTTCTTATGCACAATGAATACGCATAGGTCAGTTGTGAGAATCTTCTCAGTTCTGACTTATACAATCATAAATTAAAATTTCTTTTCCATTGAAGCAGACATGATTTTTCCTCCTAAAATTCGTATTTTTTTAGGATGGAAATCTTTTATATTGAAGTGCATTAAAACTATTTTTTCACATATCTGTTTGTATTTTACAGTCAGGAAGCTATTTTTCACATGTATATATTAAATTAGTTTACACAACCGATCTCTTATCCTGTTTCCTACTGTTTTTTATTTAGTTATCAATGAGTATTAATTTTGAATGCTCTAGAATGGAAAGACAGTTCTCTCTAGTATAAAGACTCAGTCTCCTCCTCTTAAAACACTTCTGGCTTTCCATGAAGGTAGGTTATAACAGCTTTCATATGAAATACTCTGTTCTGTTCTATTCAAATTCTTACACCACTTTCCTCACTGTGCTACCCTAACATCTTCCCAAAGTCAAATGAGGTAGATAATATCTGCTGTTTCTTTTTCCATTTCTCTCTTCAGAAAGAAGTTCTTTTGGCTAGATTTGTTATTAAAAGTTATTATGAGAAAAAATAATAGCAGGAAGCTGAAGGAATAAAAGCTGAGGTTTAAAAAACCTTCTTGGAGGACTACAAAGCTTTGGTAAATTGGGCCTACCTTGGAATTTAAACTTATTTGACAAGTTGTCACAGTACTTCTAGCATTCTGTCAGTATAATCCATTTCGTTTTAAGCTCTAGGATATTTTATAATTTCATACCATTTCTCTTTTGTTTTGGTTTAAGCAGTTTTGCTTTTTAATTATTTACACACACACACATATAGATAAACCTGTCATATATCTACTAATTCATCTAACCTTCCAACCTTCTGAAATAGTGAAGCAGATTTTTTTTTTTTTAAATCTCATTTTCCACTTTCTCCTCCACCAGATTCACTGGCTGCCGACTTACTACCTCCAGCTTTAGCTCTAACCTGGAGTCTCGTATTAAAGACCGTCGATGACGCCACCAGCGCCCATAGCTCACCCCAGACCCTCGTCGTCGTCGTCGTCGTCGTCGTCTCGTCCGTCGTCGCTTGAAGATGCGTCGTTAAATATTTGTTATCTTACTATGAGGCAGGAAGATGTGTTTTAAGCAGAGAGCCCGGGG